AGAGTACACCTGTCTAAGCCGTGAGCCGCCAGCTTCTCCAGGAGAATGCTGTGGGAGACGGTGTCAAAGGCCTTACTGAAGTCCAGGTAGGCCACATCCACAGCCTTTCCCTCATCCACTAGGCGGGTCACCTGGTCATAGAAGGAGATCAGGTTGGTCAAGCAGGACCTGCCTTTCATGAACCCCCGCTCCATAACCTTCCCCGGCACCGAGTTCAGACTGACAGGCCTGTAGTTCCCTGGATCCTCCTTCCGGCCCTTCTTGTAGATGGGCGTCACATTGGCAAGCCTATGTAGTAGTGGACAAGTAGTGCACCATGTTTTCTCCTCTTTGGTTTCTAAATGATAAATTAATGTCTCCGAATCTGTGGCCTTGTAAGTTATCTTCATCTCACTTCTGCTACTTCTATCCTCATGACAGTGTCATTCTTTCTTACAAATCAAAATATTAAGTTACTGAACCAGTCACCTCAGGATTTGAGTAACTGCTGCTTTTTCTGTCAATACAAGGCCTATTTTTTATCTTTGTAGCCAGTTCCTTATGACCTCGGTACTTGTGTACTAACCCATCTGTTAGATCTCTGGATTTGATGCAGGATGCACAGAAAAAGTTTACGCAGGCTTGGATAAAAAGGTGAAGAAGTCTTGGAGAAGGGGTTTATTTTTGTTATAGTTAGTTGGCTCAACATAGAGCCTTGCATTCTGAGTGGACTACAGCTTTCCCAAATGTGCCTTCTTCCTTAAATGTCTGCTATTCTCCACTCATAGGGTGACATGTCACTTCCTACATCATTACTAGATGTTTAATTTCACTTGCTGCTTTGTTCAGTCTCAAAATAGTTTTGTCTGAACTCCATGACGTAAATGGGTTGAAGTTTTCTTGATTGTCCTTTCTTGAATGTGGTGAAACATTACACTTTCTGTTCACTTCTTCCACTTGTCTTCTTGAGTTTACTCCAGGCTTCACCATGATCATCTTTATTTCTTTACATATTGGGACTGTGTCTAGATTATCTTTAAGCTTGACACAACCCTCACTGCCTATTGAGCTTGTTTCTGTTTTACTGTTTTGTTTGGTCTTCCTTTCAGAAAAAAAATGATGTGACTTGTGATAATTCTTCCTTTTTCCTGTAGTCTGATCTGGTTTAGGTTTGTATATCAGTTTACTTATTTCTGACTACAATTTTTCTGGGCTGGTTCTTCAGCCTAGGTCTGTCAGCACTTCCCTACAAGTTTTCTTCTGTTTCAGTGCAAATTCCAGGCAGTCTTTGCACATAAACTTGGAATAGGCTTGGAATGTCTTAAAGACTCTGAGCTCTTCAGTTCTGTTGACTGAACTAACTAGATCCCTTAATTCTCAGAAATAACCTCAATTAGCAACTTGGGGAGTTTTTTGTTTGTTTCCTTCCTTTCATTAAATGCGAAGAGAATCCAATTTCAGGTGGCCACTAGTTGGTGACCAGCTCTTTGCCGGTGTCACTGCTGGTTACAAAATGAAAGGAGCTTCTGTTGGCTTGGTGGCAGGTGATGAGATCTGTCAGCTCTTGCATCCAGGAGTAACTGGGCCTCACTGGGACCCAGTGGCTTCATCTGCCTGGTAAAGGGATGTTTTTCAGCATATTCTGGCATATATCAGATTGCTATGCTTTATGATATAACTTTAGGTCTTTTTGTTACACGAACAGATTTTACTAAGCTCTTGGCTGCAATGTTTTGCTGAAACTGCTTCCATGGATTAATCATCCGTTTAAGTTTTATAAAATTTTAATTATCTCTGCGTTTTTACTGAATCTCCCTTTGCTTTAGTATTTTTGGTGGAGAAGATTTGGAAAACATTTTCTGTATGTTATTGTCCTATACCTTCTTACCACCAAACTAACGTTCTTTTGATTCCCTCTTCTGTATAAAATTGTTTAGTTGTAATCCTTCTCCCCCCGTCTTTGAGCCCTCCTCTTTTTTCTTCCACTATGATTTTCAAATACAGATGACTTAATAGTTTACAGGTTAAAAAAGACCTCTCAAGAAGTAAATCCTGAAACAAAAACTAGTCGCTATATACTAGTTATTTCTTTCTTTTCTTCTCTTGTGGCATATGACTTCAATCCAAGTTATAGGAAAAATTCCTCATTTTCTGGGAATGTGATGTTTTTTACAGTTCATGCTTAAATATGTTTTAGCTTATAAGCTTCTCTATTAATATTCACAGATTTGTAATTTCTTATTTTTCTTCTACACCACTGTTAAGAAGCACACAGTGTACTTTGCACACAGGATGCCGCTGACCAAGGGGGTGATCCGAAACAGTATTGTGGGATTATATTTTTGGTCACCCAGTTACATCACTTGAGAAGTAGGATGTGTGGGAGCAGAGAGGGGTGCCTTCATTTTTGACAATAGGTCTTCCTTACACCTTTACTCTTTCTCTAACGTTTAAAGAGCCAAGATCCAAATGGTTACTTCTACTGCAAAAAGCAGCAAGGAAAAAAATCTAACTTTGCACTGGACAATAAGGGGAGGTAGAATCATCATAACCACCTAAAAATTCTAGCTCTTGGCTGCAATGTAAAGGTAGAATTCTACCTTAAAAGGTAGAATTTGGCTGCGTTTCCGTTGCTTGGTCTGTCGTAGGTCCTTTGGTAGGCAGTAGAACTGTGGGCAGGTTCTGTCCACCCAAGGACAGAGCTGATTTCTAATTTCCATTTCAGACACGGGAGCAGGAAGAGCTGGAGGAAGCTTTAGAGGTAGAGCGACAGGAAAATGAACAAAGGCGACTGCTCATACAGAAAGAAGAACAACTACAACAGATGATAAAAAGGAAGAATAAGCAGGCACTCTTGGATGATCTGGTGAGTGACAAAACCAGAGGCTTTGAATGCTCAGTATAATGCTCAGAGCAAACAGCAAGTACACTGACATTCATCTCTACCACAGTTAACTGTGTGGAGTTAATATGTCTGCCCCTTTCTGTTTCCCTGTCTTGCATGTTTTGTGTGTTACTGTTCTCTAACCTGTCATTCATTTCAGTGTTACAAACAATTCTGGTTTTGTTAAGCTAAGGACTGGAGAAAGAGTGCTTCTGGGATTCATAGACTTAATTGGCCTCATTGTCCAGAATGTCCAGTGCTGGTTAGAAATTAATTCTACGAAAGCATTCTTGGCTGTTTCAACACAAAATTAATCCTGGGTAAGATTCTAGCAAAGAAAAATGCAGGCAGCTTTTTGGGTATTTGAAGAAGGCTATTTTCCTGGTTCTACCTGTTTTGATTTTTTTTTTTTCCCCTCATTTAATTTCCTAGTGAGCTTCCATTGAAAGCCTTTTTCTTGTTGCGCATTGACATGTGGGGGTATATTTCAGAAATTGCTTTAGTGAGTCCAGCCACTCTACCAGTTTACTTATTAGTTGACATTTGACTGCATATCTGAAGAAGAGCTAGTATAAAAGTCTAGATTTCTACTTAATTCATTGACAGTATGAAAGCCACAGGCTTTGACTGTGATCCGGGATGGCTTGCATTAGCATAGCTGATATGGTGACTACTCTACATTGAACCTGATGTGTGATAGGTGAGGTTCTGTCATGTCTGAGGCCACATAACTGCCTGCTTGTATTGCCTTCAGCTGATCACAGTTGCATCTGCTTTGGTGTATGTCTGATCATGCAATTTGTGAGGGGGCTAGAGAGGAGCTACTAAGTTGGTTCAGCCATAATGTGAAATCCTGCCACTGCTGGCTTGTTAAGCAGTCCTGAATGGTGGCTGATAATCTGGTGTGTTGAAGCAAAGTGGTAATCAGGAGCTACTTCATGAGCTCAGCCACCTCTGCAATGGGGAGATGGTGGATAACAGGGGACAGTAACCTCACGAGTTATTTGAGCATTAGTCAACCCTTTTTGAGTCAAAGCACCTAAATGATAGGTGGTGCCTTTGTATTCAAAAACTACTAAAAGAAAAAGATTTCTTGCCTTGAGTGTGTTGTGTTCTCTTACTGCGAACTTTTTGTGTATGAGTTGCTCCTTTTGAAGTGAATAAAGCTTGGATTCATTTGAGGGGTGTATAGACAACTGAAGAAAAACTCAGGCTACTTCTGGAAGTTGTGTTAATCTTGTCTTTGGCTGAATTTACTACTGAGTCTGCATCTGAAATGCAATGATGATGTGTGGGCATAGAGAAGCTCAATAAATGTGTTATTTAAACAAGATTCACATCTCCATTTTTTTAATACACGTGTGTGTGTGTACAGACACGCATGCACACACATTCACATGCTCTAACATCCATGAGAACAGTGTGTGTGTAACCTTGAAGGAAATCAGGAAAAAGGAGAAGTATGTATGCATGCACACATGTGTGCAGCTATGTCAATGTGGTTTAAAGCTGCTTGGCAGATTTAAATCAGAATTTCTCTCAGTTTATCTCACATTAATATAGCATTAATTCCTGCTTTGTATTCTCAGTTCTTATTCAAGATACAGATGCTTTTCTACCTTTCCTGGAAAAGTAAAGTTCCACTTTGAACCAGTGCAGAAGGCACTGACGTGAAAAGAGGGCACCGATGTGTGATTTAGAAGCTTCAGGCGCTCTCCTGAAGAGCTGCCTTTTCCTAAGCCAGGAGTCCTGGCAACCTGTCATTGGTTTTGCTGAAAGGAGCTGGTGTTTTCATTTTTTTGTAGACAAAAGCAGAGATGAGCAGAAAGGTTCTCTGAAAATCTCTCAAGACTATAACTTTGAATCCAGCAGTCTTTTCACTTTAAAGGTAAAAGTGCTTACAATCCCCACAATTAGGAATAGTTTGAGTAGTGGATCAATTAATAAAAGCTCCACTATGAACTTGAGTTAATGGCTCAGAATAAGGATTTTTAACTGGTTTCTGACTTATTTCAATCCTGTTCTAAAACACACTCTTAATTTACTACAGACCAGTGTGTTTTTTGGTTTGTTGGTTTTTTTTTTCCTTTTTTTTTTTTCATTTTTACAAAGCAGTTGGTTTTACTGGAAACCTACTTCACCAGGTGGCTTGAGGAAAGAATGGTTATAAATAACCCTTAAAACATGACCAAAATAGGTGGTTTTAACTGTGATTGCATATGTATTGCTATTAAAACATATCTTGAATATTCTAAAAACAACAGAAAGGTGATTTTTTTAAAGGCCGAGGAAGGAAACAGGGCAATTTTAAGTTGTGTCTGTGTTTATGAAGGGGCACTGTCAACTTAAATTTGAGCCAAAACTTGTTTTGTAATACTAAAGGTTTATAAAACCAGCACTGAGGTGTTTGTATAATGACTTACAAAGTCTCTGGAAAACCAGCAGTTGTTAAACAAACATTTCTTATGGTCTCTGAAATCCTTCTAATGCTGTGCTGCAAATCTGAAAATGAAGCTGATCATAAGTAAAACTTAATTGAGAAATGCAGCAAAAGCAAGCATAAGTAGTAGCAAAGAATTACATTAACAAAATAATCTTGTATCTATGGTTGCTGGTACTGCACTAAAGCAACAGGGATTAAGTTCTGGCTACAGTGATACTAGTGGCAAAACTACTGACTCGGCAGGATTGTGAGTACAGAGGAAGGTGGGAAGCTGACATTTCACCTATCTGTTTTGAATCATCTCTTTTGGATGCATCACCTGGCTCTGGGAACCTACAGCCCACTTGACCTGGGTCTTGGTCATTTTGTTCAAGATTTTTTTTTTCCCCCGCCCCCATACTGGGCAGCATGAGAAAATTTAAGATAAATTTGTTGTGTGGTGCAGGTAGAGATGTCGGGCCTTTCCTCTTCCAAGAAGAGAATTTTACCTTTGGTGCTTAAATCCTAATGGCTGAGGAGAGATTCACAATTTCTTATATGTATTATTTATGGTATTATCATATTGAGTAAAGGTCTCAGTTGTTTACAAAAGGGTACAAGAATACTGTCCTGTCTTCAGAGAGCTTATAGTTTAGATAGTCCAGGTAGAGAAAAAGGTGCCGAAATGTTTGGTATTTAAAATGTTGTGCAGCAGGCTCTGGTTCCTGGTCAGCCTGGTCAGCTCAGTGGGTTATGCAGAAAGGACTGGACTTGGGGCCAAGGCTCCACGAACCCGTCCTTCGCTGGGAGCAGGGAGGGGAGGGCCAATGTCACTTGCTGGAAAGGTGAGCAAGGTGTCGCGGGCTACTGGAAGAGCAATCAGGTGCTTTGCCTACGTTGTTACCTGTTGCCTGTTTTGCCTCCCAGTACTAAATTAGGCAGATTTTGTATTACCTTCATTATAAGTGACCTCTTTTACAATAAAACCTCTCACTTTAAAAGCACAACACCTTGTTGTAATTTAGACTTGTAGTCTCAAATGCATCTTACATATTATTGGAAGAGTTGTATGTGTGTTTTGTTTTGGGTTTGGTTTTTTTAACCCTCTAGACTTGGATAATCGGGGCTGAGTAAAATATTAAAGCACTTCCTTTATTTACTATATAAACTCTCTCACCTGTGTACAGAGAATTATAGATCTGCTCTTAGATGTCTTCGGTGTTATGGGACTTGCGCTCTCCTCTTCAAGAGCCCATACTTGCAGGCATGAGCAAAATAGCATTGCAGCACATGGCAAAGAGGCAGGTTTTCCCTGGGCTGTGGCATAGCTTGGAGTCAAGCAAAGGGCAAGGTGCCTTAAAGACATCAGGTGTCCCCACTTTTACCAGAACCTCAGGGGTTTTGAGACAAACCTTTCAGAAATTTTTGCATATAGCTAGCTTTGTTCATACTGTTAGACAGTTTGTTTTCCCATACAGAAAATTGCTAGTACGGGTAAATGCTTACAGGATTGGACCTTTCATGTGTGTTAATAGTTAACAGAAGGGCTATGTGCGTATTAGAAAGGACAAACAGTCATGGATGCGGTGGCTTGCTGGCACAGTGTGGGTTTCCCACAGTTGTGTAATCTGGTTACCGGTCATTGTGAGAACTCTTGAGAAGTTGGTACAAAAATTGGCTTCCTTTGTTACTGTATTAGAAATGCAGTGAACGTTTAAGGAATGTGAGAGGGCAAAACGAACCAGAGAACACTTCACAATCTTCCCTTCTCCCCCAGCAGATTAAATCTGATTATTTAAAGAATCCAACATCCTTAAACTCTGCTGGCAGCTAGCACCACATGCTGCTGCATGGTGGTTACAGACACGTACCACGCATTGAAGATGCAGACTGTAAACTAGTGCATTCATGGTCCAAATTTTCTCCCAGTTGTACAGAAATTAGATGTCTCATTATTACAATTTAGGTTTTTAACCTCTTCCCTCCCCTCCTCCCGGTTAATCACAGAAATGTGAGTAGGATCCTGTGCCTTAGTTGTTGTATTTGTGACTCTGGACCAGGTCTCATCATGTGAGATTTTTCTGCTTTTAGCACTTGCAATTTAGTCATAAGACAAAGAGAGCGTAACAAAAAATAGAGAGGAAGGAGGACTGGAGCGTGATGTGAAAAGTCAGTGTACAACATGACTGTTCTTCACGATCGCTTCAGAACATTTCTCTAGGATACCATGAACAGCAAGGCATCTCGCGGCATTAAAAACTTCCAACTTCTTACCTGTTGTAAATAAAAAGTCACAGTCTCATTTATTAAAGTTTGTTTGTTTTTTCCCGTAACAAATATGGTTCATAGTTCAGTATTTTCTTGGTTCTGTGAAACAGAAGTATATGTGATGTTTGAGGGCCTTAGGAATAAAATACTGCGCTAGAGCAGTCCGGGAAGAATCCGTCTGAACTTCTTCCCTGCTCTCAACTTTACAGTCATTCTAGCTAGGAAGTCTCAAGGATTTCGGTGTGTGTGTGGATAGTCACATTAGTTAATTAGAAAATTACTTGGCCAATAATTTTCTGACTCTCTCACGAATGCAGTTACAAATATGTATGTTAATAATCATTCTGTTCTGAGAGTTTAAGTAGTTCATTTGCTTAACTATTCATTTTATTACTTTATATATATATATATATATATTTAAATTGGCTGGCTTCCCTAAAAATAAGTTGGTGAAGGAGAAAATAAATATGCTGTTGGTTGCACTTACAATAGTGCCATTGTGCAAAGCAGAGCAAGGATCATTTCCAAACGGCCTCAGGTGAAATCTAATGGGAAACAATTTCAAACTGGTCTGAATTCATTGGTAGAAAGAATGCGTCTTAGATAAACATCTGATCCAAGTTATACTACTTGGTATTATTCCTTCTCTGATTAAGTTCTAATTTTTTTTTTAATTTTAATAAATATAGTTACATTGGCCAGTTGGAATAAGGAGCCTGTTATATTGTCTTTAATGTGGATTCTATAAAAATGGTTGTTTGCAGGTTGCTCTGATTTATGGGGTTGCTGCAGCTTTTTCTTATTACTGAAAATGATCGTTTTCTGTAAACTGTTTCTCATAGCGAGGATACTTAGCCTTATGCTGCTCTGCTAGTGATGGCCCTTCAGACACAGCTTGCAGTTTTGAAAAATATGCAGTGTTAATTAATACTTGTTTTGGTTTAGCATTCAAACTGTTCCTTGTATGTTTATAGGAGAGCTCCAATCTTCCTGCTTCACTGCTTTTAGCTCAGCATAAGGACAGATCTACTCAGCTAGAAATGCAACTGGAAAAACCCAAACCTGTTAAACCAGTCACGTTTTCCACTGGCATCAAAATGGTAAGACTTGCTTTTTTCTTTTTTTTTTAATGCCTTTCAAAAGACCAAGGATTTCCTCATATGAAATTTAGAAGTTATTTAAACCTGAGTTGCGTATTATGTGAAATAGACTGTTGTCTTCCAATTAAATAAATAATTAGGAATTAATCTAAGAGTTTCTTCATTCTGCTAGTCGGAATATATGAAATATTTTCATT